CTCTGACACCAATTTGTTACGTCCCCGTTTGTTAATTGATTTTCCGTAAGTTGGTTCCGACGAAACTTAAGCGACACAAGTCCTTTCTTAATAAAACTGGTTTATTATTTCCGAATATAACTTTACCGATACACTCAACTTCAACAATCGCGCTAAACAAACGCTGTAACGTCTCTCGTGCTCTCCGACTGCAGTTCAATTACTCACTGTCTACCCACACATTACCTTCCCCTCTTTTATATACCAGCCTACCCTATCTAGCAAATACTAGAGCATTCCTGAAAGAACAAGATAGTTCTAGAAACTAGAGGGCGCCACACCAGTCACGTGACCTCGATGACGCAACAATATATATATTTTCCAGGACCCCAAAGCACTTATTACTTGTAAACTTGATCTATCATTTACTAGGAAACACAAGTATTCACTAAATAATACTAAATTTGCTTAATAATTGTTAAATGGAAGTTTCACAATGAGCCATAGTTATTTTAAGCTGCAAATAAAAATACTAGAGCTAAGCCTAATGAGCATACATATACAGAATAAAAACACTGAGTGGCGAAATATAAAATAAACACTCCTTAAAATCTCAATGGATGATATGAACAGAATAATCATCATGCAATTAAAACAAGATTTTTGAATTCTGAAATTCAACATACATACGTGTGAAAACAAGTGAAATTACTTTGCTGTACTTTTGTAAATTTAAAATGAGAAAATATTTCTCCACTTTCAAGCACCTTTCTGAAAACTTCTCATGTTTAAACACTTTAAAAACCTTGAAAATAAGATTTCACTTACTCAGTTGAACTATAAAGAAATAGAAAGCTTTACTGCCATAAAATTAACCTTTCACTGTAAAGGACTTTTCATGTGAAGTCTATTACATATACAAATTCAGAAGACCTATTAATGAAGTAATGATGTAAAAAAAGGAGTTGCGTTCAATCAATTTGGATATTTTGAGTCAATTTATTTTTGACCACCTAATGGAATATGTGAGTAATTAATAATTTCAAATAATATAACTTCAAAGATTAGGCCATAGTTTTTATTGGCCTATTATATTGAGGGTTGTTGTTTGTTAGTTAAGCACAAAGTTGTACAATGGGTTATCTGTGCTCTGCCCACCATGGTTTCAAAACCAGATTTCTAGTGTTGTAAGTCTGCAGACATACCACTGTGTCATTGGGGGGCATTATGTTGAGGGACAGATGCATTTATGTCATAACAAATCTAGTCCCAAAAAGATTGAACGTATCTATCTCACCTTGGCTTGCTGCTTTTGATTTCTTCCCTCTTGTAGTAACAAATCTCTCTTTATCCTATGAATAACAAAAACAAATATTAAACCTCTAAACATATACTGAATGTATTTTAGTTAAAAATACTCTAAATGGAAATAAGTTTGGAAACTCACAAGCAATATACATACAGAAATTACAAACAACAGTAGCTAGATGGAGAAGTTATTAATGGTACAAAACATTATTATAGATAAAATTAATACATTGTGAAATGCGTTAGAATTTTGTATACGAGCCTATTGCTTCACACACAGCATCACACCTTGTTTTCATGCTGCCATACAGTTTATCAACGTATGATTGTGAAATGTTGTTTTAAATGTTCTGTACTATTTCCCACACTTCAGCTAAGTCATTTGATTGTCTTTTGAACTTCAGCTTTTGGGACATTGTGCAGGCAAAGCCATGATTGTGAGAGTATCATTAGTCTCTTGACCATTAAAATAACATTTTACTAAGACTGCTTATGCTTGGGATCATTGTCTTGCTATAAGATAATTTCCCATCCAATGAATAATTTTCCTGAGGGAATGGCATGATGGATCAGAATCTACCTGTACTTGTCAGCAATCATTGTAAGATCATTGATATTGCTGGCTGTTATATAGTCCCAAACTTGGTCTGATCTCTTACAATGTCTAACTGTTGTACATTAATTATATCATTTTCCTCTCCAATGTATAACAAACTGTAGTTGATTGCTTCTGAACCATTCAAACTTGGATTCACCTATAAAAAGCATGCTTCTGTAGGTTTGCCCATTCCACTGTTTGTGGTCTGATGCTCATTTCAACTATTTGGCTTTGTTACATTTTCTTTAGCAGTGGTTTTCAAGCAGCTACATGTCGAATGAGACCACTTCATGCTAATGTGTGTATCTTATTGTTTTTAGGGTAATATTCATACCTGCCTTTACAGCAAGATGAAAGGTAAAATTTGTACTCAACCACAGTCTTTACATAAAGAACTTACTCTGAAATACTTAGCATCACTTTTGGAGTTCTGTTTTTCGACCTAAACCATTCTGTTAATAAGTGTCATACACTCTCTCCAGGAACCTGCATATCGGTCTTACTTAAACAAGTAGTCTTGCTGCAATTTTTGATTTGTACATGTTTGTTATATGGTATTTCAGTCTTAAGAGCCATTATTGGACCAAACTACTACTATTGGGCATATTAGAGGTTTATACACAAAACAGGATAATAAATTCTATGACTTGCAACAACTTTTGTTCATTTTCCATACCCTGAAAGGTATCTTTTCCAGTACGTTTTTATTATATTTTTTAAACCATTTTTTTATAAATATATTAAAAACACTTGGCATGCAATTGAGTAAATATTTTATAATTTACAAAAATGCACAAAAATAAAGAAATAAAAGCAAAGACAATATAAGTAGTAAGCAACTTTCTATGTTAGTTTGAATATTCCTATAATGGATTTTTTTAAAAGTTCCATCTCATAATCAGCAGTTGCATTGTCACTTTTCTTTTGCAAATTTCCTAAATATATTATATTTCATGAGCAGCAAGATCTTAATAATTTATGGCCTCTTCAACAAGATGATCGGCCTTCTCTTCCAAAATGTTTTCTATTTGGCTTAGCTAGAATGTCTATCTCTTTTTTTTTTTAACAGTCTTGCATTTTTGTTATTTCTTTACATTCTTTGGTTCCTCTAGATATATCTAGGTTTATCTTTCTGCCTAGAGCTGCAGACGACAGTATTGTTTATTAACACTGATTACATGAAGGGTCCTAGTATTCTTAACATAATTAACAATAAGTTGTTCCACAAATGAATTTCTTTTTTATGCAAGTTTAATACCATGATTTGTTGATCAAAATAAAAGCCCCTGTTCAACACAATCTCAGCCATCATGTAAAATAAGAATACTTTTATACTATTCCACATGCTGTTTATATTCACTATCCTTCCTCATGTTTTCATTTAATTTCCACAGCAAAGCATCACAGTCTCATTCTACTACTCTTTTAGCTAACAAAGTTTTTTTCAAGACATTTTTGAACCTTTCTGCTGTCATCTGCTCCTCTTTAGTTTACTTGTGGACTAAGGCAAGATAGGTTCCTAGCCAACACATAGCAATGAGTGTTATTTATCTAACTGTTTAGTTGTTTTCTTCTGAAGAAAAGTGAAAGTCATCATTTTAAAATCAATTAATTGTCTATCACTCACTTTTTTGGCCCGGCATGGCCAGGTGGTTAGGGCCCTCGACTCGCAATCTGAGGGTGGTGGGTTCGATTCCCTGTCCCACCAAACATGCTCGCCCTTTCAGCTGTGGGGGTGTTACAATGTGATGGTCAATCCCACTATTCGTTGGTAAAAGAGTAGCCCAAGAGTTGGCGGTGGGTGGTGATGACTAGCTGCCTTCCCTCTAGTCTTACATTGCTAAATTAGGGATGGCTAGTGCAGATAGCCTTCATGTAGCTTTGCGAGAAATTCAAAACAAACAAACAAACTCACTTTGTTTTCACTTTTTAGTGTTTTCAATTGACTATCAACTGCAAAACGTAAATCAATCTTTGAATAATCTTCAATTTTCTTCTTTTCCCCTATTTCTAGCTTCAGCAAACTTGAGGTTGTTGCTTGCAGAAAATTGGCAATGAAAAAATTCTTCATCAGAGAAGAATCTTCTGGAAATGTTCAGAAATGAATGGTAGTAAGGGGCTATCACTTTGTAAAAGTAACCAGAAAGGGTGAAGCTGTTTTGTCAAAGACTCCAAGAAGGTCACCTTTGTGAGATACAAGGCATCACTTTTACATTTTTCAGTTTCATAGAAGTTTGATCTTGATTGTTAGTAGTATCTTGACATACTTCACAATGGAAGGCCATATATGTATCTCTTGGGCACAAACTACCATATGTAAATTTTCTAGTCATTTATGCTTATAAGATTTTGATGGGGACATGTCACACCCAGTTTTCACTTTGGAGTCATCTCTTCAGGCTGAACAGTTTGAAAACAGTCTGTATAGTTACACAAGTATACTATCAAATTTCATCTCTGATTATTTCATTTGCTTGTTGTGCTTAAGTGCTGTGAACCAGATATAACTGAAACAATTTAACAAGTAGTAAGCCTTTTGAATCTCCATACTCCCACATTTCATCAGTGATGACATAATATAACTTTCAGTTAACAGTGGGTTCGTCCATTGTCATTTGAAGTTATCCACTGAAGCTATTGGCATTAATTTCTTAAGTTATCTTAGATAAAATGTAAACAACCCTTGAATGGCCCAGAAACTCTGAAGTATTTTGTTGTGACTTTGTTCTAATTGGTGTCCAAAAAGTGTAAATATATTTGCTTGGAATGTACTGCTTTGTTCAACAACTTAAGCATGTAGAAAAGAAGGGACTTAAGTATGTCTCAAGACCTAAACAAGCAAGATATGCACATTTTCTCTCTCAAGCAAACTTCTCCACAATTACTGAGTCTGGAAAATTTTTTAACCAATGGACGTGTCAGGTTTTATTAAATTTTACAGCTGTTGTGGCTGCAAAAAACCATCATTGTCCATATAACCTCTCTACTAAGTACTTGTTTGTGGAAATCATGCTGTACAAATGTGCACATCTGAAATTAAAAATATATAAATTATAAAAACTTTCAACATAAATGACACCTCATAGGAATACTGTGAAACATTGTTAATTAGCACGCACTTGGGTACACAACACCTAGGGGGTATTGATTCAATGCTTATAACATTAAAAACTAATATCTGTGATAGGGAGAGCACAGATAGCCCATTCTTTAACTTTGTGCTTAACAAGAAACAAACATATAATAGACCATTATTCACTAAAATTGGTAAAACTGTTCAGTGTTCACTATTTTAACATGTTTTTTGAGATGACTTGCCTCACACATCAGAAATATCTATTCATTTGAATGTTGAGATTTTCTAATTAATGACCTTGAACTTTCTATAATTGCCATGGATTACCCAAGAATCTTTAAATTTGCATGTGCCAGGCACTTTCATACATTAGATGACCTACAGGAATCTGCACTTTGCAAAAACTTTGTTAGAATTCCATAAGATTCAAATATAATTGATTCCCAACAGAATTCATGAATATGAAACATATATATATTTATATATAAAGCATATTCAATTTACTATGAAATATATTAAATTTAATCTTTCAGTTATAATTTTCAGAAAAGGTTTTATTTGCTTTCTTGATTGTTATCTACATAAATTCCACTAAGTTGCATTACTTTTATAAGCAGGTGAAAGCACACAATATGAAAAAGTAAGCACTTCATCAATCATGATTTCCTATTCTCCACTGAATTGTTAAGCCACTTATGTCTAACAAGCAAAATGCATGAGATCAACACAGCTGCACTGCTGTAATATGCAAATTGTGTTTGATCAAAGTGTAAACTGTCAATGTTATTTGTTCTCCTGAGGAAGAATAGTCAACTATTCGAAAGTGCTCGAGTTTTGGGTCTTATTTTAAGTTTATTACACTTTATATGTGCTAACTCTTTTATCAAAAATGTTACTGTACTTCAGTGTAGTTCATTTTCATATGATAAAGAGGTGGTATTCTCATAGCACTTGCCTTCTATACCCTTTTTTCCTCACATCGAAATGTAAACTGTCAATGTTATTGTACTTCAGTGCAGTTCATTTTTGTATGATAAAGATGTGGTATTCTCATAGAACTTACCTTCTATACGATTTTTGCCTCACCATTTCCACAATCATTTCCAACATTGTATATAAACTGTTAATGGGAGCATCTGCTAAGTTTATTTAAATTTTATACAATTATTAAAGTTGTACAATTATTTAAGAATAAACAGATATTATTGACAAAACATTTCAAGTACTATGTATACATACACATTAATAAGAAATAAAGTTACTTAATGAAATAAGATTATTTCATATAAAACATTTCAACCTTTACTTAGAAAATGATTTATCCTTAGCAACTTACTGAGTTTTCAAAGCCAGACCTTCTAGCGGTAATTCAAATTGACACTTTCTAATTGGAACAGACTCCAATGAAACCTTTTGCTGTATATTTGGCAGAACTAGAACAGTTAAACAGTCTTTTATAACAGGCAAGAACAATCAAAACAGCAAATATGTGTGTGAATAATTTGAGAAAGATGAAATTATTACTATTATTTTACAGTTACAAATAAAATTACGTACCACGTTCAGCTTTCTCAATTGTGCAGGTTAAAAATCAAGCCAAAGATAGAATTAGATACTTTCAACTTAAATAATAATGAAAACAATCTTTTAGAAATGACAACAATTCAATCAATAGATGATTTAATTCATCATTATACACCTTTATTATTGTTGTACTATTTCTAGAAACAAAGGAAAGGATTATGAGATAAAAATTGGTAAACTTAAGAAACTAAAAAAAGTTAGTAAAAGTTATTTTATCCTTGATTTCTTTTTAGTGTATGGGAAACAAATATTGTCACCCTACCTTTTAAATTCTGTAGAATTAAATTTCTATAGTATGGTGACTGTTGCTCAACAGATTCTATAATCTAAAGTTTCATAAAATCAAAAGTATTACAAAATCTTTGATAAGGAAAATATAACTAGAAAAAAAAGTTCAAATACTGTACATCACCACTGCTAAGTTAAAACACAAAACTAATTTTTCCATAACTTACAGTTTTCATAGAAAAATTAGAGGGATCATATGACAAAATGTATACATATTTATCAGTTTTAGAATAATGTTAAGATTTCCTATTGCATTAGATCAGTTAATAAATAACTCTTGATGTTCTGATTGAATTCAAGGTCCTCCATAAACCAACAGATATCATTTTAAATAAAACTAAACAAATTTCAAGATAAATAATGATATTATTACAAAGATATAAGTGTTTACTTCAGTATTGGTAAATGAAAAGAAATATTAGATACCTGAAACATATTCAAATGATAACTTCTTTATTAAAGATACTTTAGTTTCCTGCTTTAGCAAAAATTATACTTAGACACTACAAAATTATTTTCTGCTCAATTAGTTTACAAACACAAACTTTCAACTTGTTAATATTCAATTTATAAGAAAGTCACCTTATAATAAAAATTTAAAAGATCAATGTTTACAGTTCCACTACATTAGTATCATGTGGTATGTAATTTATTTCAAAAGTGAAAAAGAAAAGGAATAAAATAATGATGATTTTTACAATACATACAATGATCTACAAGGGGTACAAGACACACTACATAATTATACCAAATTGTATTCTTAGTTTAGCCACAAAAACAAATTGAACTTAATTTCCAGAGACACTGTTCTTAAACTGCATTTCATTCAAAAGAGATGTTAAAGTGCACTTTCTAGTCTCTTCAAAAATAAAGGTTTGATTCCTCACAATATCTATTTCCAGGAAATATACAAAACATTGCATATGTAAAGCTTAGTGACAAATGTCTTTCTATTAAATAAATAATAATGTATGTTACTTTGAACTCAAAAGTATTCAACTTCCAAGAAGTATAATGATTAATTCATCAACTATGATTAATGATCACCTGACACTGTATAAACTTAAACAAAAAATGGTATTTTTTTCCTTTGAATTTGGTTTTATGTTCTTTCTATTTCAATATACGTTTTTAATCTTATCTCAACAAATACATACGATATCTAAAGTAAATAAACATGTCTCCCACATGGAATCTACAATATAGTTGACACAGAAAGATAACAAACACATCTGATACAAAAAGTGATTTAATAGAGTTAGTGTGTAAACATCTGATTATTCCAAGGTAACAAACATTACGATTACAAGCACTTCTCACACATCGAGCTCAAAATAACAGAATAATGAAATAAAAATCTACCTGCAGAAATCTCTGTTGCCACTCCTTGAACCTGTGGCTTAAGTGTGCTGTAAACAGATGTGAAACAGCAGAAAACAACTGGTTGGCATCATTACATAAAGAAAAGATCAGGTTATCTAGCCTTTTCACCAGGAAAATAAAAGAAAAAAGATTCTGAAGCAACATTTACAAATATGTATAAAGCAAGAGAAGCTTGAATTTTAAAAACTATTTGTCCTAAGAGGAGTAAAATTCAACAGAAGCACACTGATAATCATAAGTTTTATTCAGGGCAGTTAGAAAATGATACAGGTTATTTCAAAAACTGTCAATATACACTCTCTGTAATTCTCAATTAACATATCAAGTCTATCTTTAAATACAACTATGCAAGCATCATCTGATTTGGACAGTATTCCTTGATCATTGCTATATCCACACACTGGCACATCTTCTATTCAAAGTCAACATTTTCCTTAATTGCAAACGTATTTCCAAAAGATACTGATCTCCATACACATAAAGCTATTTTCTTCTTGAAATCACTCTAATATGCCTGAGAGACTTGCAGGACACCAACCTTGTGAAAACTCTCACCTAAAATTCACGTGAATTATGTGAAATTGCACTACTGCATGAAAATATATCATGCAGGAAACCCTCTAGCAATAAAAGTGCAACACATCTCCATGCGCAAATACACCCTCTACATTCCCACACAAAATATACCTAGATGAGCTCCCTTCCCCAAGTGTTTGAAAAAAGCCCATGGGGTGTGACACCTTATGGTAGGAGCTTCATAGGGGCACACCTGTGGGAAATCACACATCATCTCATCCAGGGTATATGCTTTGCCTGTGAGCAGGATTAGAAGGGGCAAAAGGCCTGCATGGTATCCCAAGGTGGAATAGGTACATGACAGTCCAAGTACTCACACACAAGACATCAGATGGCCAATAAGTGTAGTGGCGTTGGGGCTCATTCAAACTGTACTGTAAATATATTCCTACTCAACCATCAGTTTCTATCAGTCAAAACCAGCTGTGGGAGAAGGGCACTTGTGATAAGTATCAATGCAAAGCTCCTCTATTGTCAAACACTTAGGACTACTTGCCAGTGGTAGGAGGAAGGCACCATGTATACATATTTGTTTATTAGACACAATTAGTGTGGATACTTGTATAACCAAAACTTGACCATCAGAAACTATGGACCCCTTGTTCACTGTGGGAGTAGGGCGTGTGAGCAATACATCATAGCTGTGTATGAAATAGTATCTACTCCACCATCAGATACAGAGGGCTTAGGCCATTGCAGGAGTAGGAAGTATGATAAAGACAGATATACAAGCAAAGCATGAGATAGTGATATGTTTCCAAATTCTACTTGGAAATTGTGATGTATCTATATGCAATGGGCTGATCTGCAATACACTCCAGAAACACCCCTGCCAACTTCTCACCATAGGTGGACCCTTGTTCTAGCCTTTGACATTTAGGTCCCAATCAGTTAGGATTCTCCATGGTCCATTATCCAAGTGGCTGGGAGCTGATAAATGGCAAGGGTCTCCTGTGCTCCACTCAAGGGGATGGAAGGAGGAATTCTCATATGTAAAACCTGGAGAATGTCCGGAGATCCCCATCGGGTGCCTGTTGGAAAGATCCTTTACTGGAGACAGTGCAATGGGTGACTGTGAAACCTTATTTCGGAAAGCCAGCATGTGCTAACCAGAGAAGCAGCTAGATGCACAATTCTGGTGCTGGCTTTTTCCACGATGGTCCATGGAATGGGTACAGTCTGGATCAGACTAATGAACATATTATAGTATTACCATAAGTAGAACACCAGTGGTCTTACATCTCATAGTGGGCACTGATTGGGCCAGGGCAGGTAGCCTGAGCGCTTTCCGTTATCCTGACCCAATGCAGATTTTTGGGTAAGTATACTCTTTGGGGCAATGCTAGTCACCTAGTGGGATCTGTTACATGTTACAATTTCAAATGGTTTGAAACTGAGTTAACTGATAAATTTAAATTTAGTAGTTAAATTGTACTTTGGATTTAGCAGTTATGTAAAAGCCAATATATAGTCAGTTTATGATATTTGCCAACAAGATTGATACACACAGTTATATATATTTTTTTCATACAAATATATTTCAATATATAAACAATAATACAATTTACAATAACAGTTATTACAAATAGTTATTACACACAATGATTTATATA